TTCTGATTTCACTATCCAAGTTCGTATCCGATTACTAACTTGGATGGATTTTCTAAAATTCTCTAGAATACCAAGGTCGCTTGTAGTTTCATGTAGATAACCTGTGTTTTTGGCATTCAAACTAGGTCTGAAGTAATGTTTCAATTATGTTAACACGTTTCATTTATTTCAGACTTAAGACTGGCAGATTATACTTCATATGAATAAGACAGTTAACTATTGTCGATTTACTTTTTATCGAATACTTAGTTGATATTATGAATAAAAAGTTTATCTTATACAATAACACGATATTATTATATTGAGTAGTCAAACATAAAATACAATATGTCTGTTATGAATGATTGTGAGTAGCATCAAACAATGAATTAACATAAATTGACAAATCATTAGAAATAAATAAATTATTGCTCAACTGTTTAAAATCATTTCCAGATTTTTCAGTGCTCAATATCCTCTAACAAAAATCAACTGGTGATGCAATTTATTTTCAAAGTGATTGCTACATTTCTATAAACTGTAATTCTTTGAAATATTAGAATTTTCGATATTTAGTTATTTAAAGTTAATAAAATGTGTTATTTAGTTAGTATATTCATTAAATTGAACACTATTAGTTTGCTTATCATATAACTTCAAGTACTGTTATACCTGTAGTAAACACTATGGATTATAATAATAATAAATGAAAATCTTACCTTAACAAATGCACGAATCACATTAATGAGAGTTTCTCCTGGATGCTAAATAATGTATGACACAAAAAATTATTATTATGGATACTTCTTCCAATGAAATTGATAGTTATCAGTATCTTTTTTTAAAGATAATTTAACGTATCGATTATAATAATTATCAAAAGAGCCAATACACTAAAGCGAAATAATATGTAGTTAGCAAGGGATTGTTTGAATCTATTTATTTTATGATCATGTAGTGTCCATTGATATGCTAAGCCCACACAGCCTATTCTAGCTTATGAACAGGCCAATCTAAACATACTTCGTTCGATCAAATTGACATCCAAATGAAGGGCCCCACTAGAATCAAATACATACAGTCTTAGTCGTCAAAAATCTTAATCTAAATGTAGTAAGTTATTTAATGATGAACTACTTGTTTCAGTGTTCTATGTCAAATTAAATTTCTGTAAAATTAGTTATAATAATCTGTTGAACGCTATATCTCTCTGTTTCGTTCCAATCTATACTTTATTTCGTCATTTTATTTACAATTACTTCCATATTGTAATAAATATGATGAGAAGAGAGAAGGGGAGTGAAAGCAATCAAGATAACAACAAGAATGAACGAACAATAAAGCTTGTAAGAGACAGTTCAAAGATATGCAAATGATGTATTTGATGTATGGATTTCACATTCTACTGAACCACTGTGATTAGGCATTAAAAATAAATTAGTCTTCCCCACTCGAATGTTCGTTCACTACAAATATACCCGGATATCAGCAATCCAATGTCAAAACGTATTAAATTTTTATGAACAATCAGTGTAGTTGATACCTATAGTAACTTTTAATAGTTGTATTCATGAGTCGTCTGAAGCTAGACCACCTTGGAAAATCTGAAATCACTGGACGGCCGTTTCGTACAGTGCGATTAAAAACTATCACAATCTCCATAAAAATTCTTTCTGATAAAAAATTACTTCTCATGTGTATTTATTCACTTCTAATCCTCTTCCGTCAAACTTTAATCTTTCCAAATGACACTATTTGACTGCAAATGTTGAGATAGTGTTTCAATCGTTTAACATTATTTCACTTCATCTTTGTCCATGGAACGATACTTAATAACTTTAAGACACTTTTGATATATTTAGCTGAGGTAGAAAGATGCCTTAATAAACTCATTTTTTAGTGAAGAATAAGAAATTCTATATGGTTGGGCTTATGGTGAACCTATATTACAGAATGTAACATTAATTAAAATAATTTAAATAAACAATCATATCTTTGAAACAACTGAATAAAACCATTTGTCCAGATCTTAAACATCCTTATGATTTCATCCACATAACTTTAGTTTTAATATTACACATAAGCTAACTCATAATAGAAACTTTCCTGTAACATACTGAGTTAAAAATTTTCCCTGATACATTTTCAACTTACATCTGAATGAATAGATTGTGTATAAAGTAATTGAAGTCTTTCCGCAGTTAAATAATTAGATAATAAGAATCCTTTCTCAATAAATACACATATGAATTGTACTTTGTTTGATAATAATAATGCATTCATATGTTTTACTAATTTAGAATTCTAGAATATAAAAAATAGACAAATAATTATTTCATGTATTTTATGTAAATGTCATTTGAAGTTTATATAAAAAAAGAATTGGAAGTAAACTGAAGTAAATCACCAATATGAATAAACATTTAAATTCGGTACCGAATTTACTTTACATTAGATTATTGTGTTTTAGTTCATAGAAGTTATCTTAAATACATAGTATTTGGTTGTAGACAAAAAAATCAATACATGTATGAAACACTGAAACCTTTTCAAAATGTTGCCAAATGAGATTTTCTATATTTAGATGCATAATAATTTTATGAGTTGAATTCATAAGTCAATTGAAGCTAGACCACTATGAAAAACCTGGAAACACTGGACAACCGTTTCGTCATAGTATGGGACTCCTTAGCAGTGCACATTCACGGCCCCGCATCACGAGATTCGAACCCTATCAGTCTTGCGCGCGAGCGTTTAACCTCCAACTTCAATTGACTCATGAATTCAACTATTAAAATGACTATAATATCCACAAAACTCCTCTCTGTATAACAATTGTTTGCTCAACAATAGATAAGATACTTTTAAGAATCTAGAGAAAACTATAACTAACATTTATCTGTAGAACAGTGTAACTATATAATGAATTTTCGACTAATTAAACATCTAATGTTTCTACTACCGAACGAAATAATGGTTTGTTTTTCATCTAGTTAATTATGTATGATTATTTCCCATTCATATTTATTTGTTTATCTTTTATAAAATACATATAATTGATATTTATGATTTAACATATAAAGAGAATAAGTTTGTGTTGTGATATTCAGAAAAAATATCCTAAAAATTATCCTGTTAAGTCTAATGCTATCCTTGGACTTGAAATGGTATGATTTTCCTATTGTTCAGTATTTACTTCACGTGTCGTTTTCCTACTGGTCAATATTTATTTTACGTGTCATTTTCCTGTTGGCCAAATATTGTACAGATGTTACTTTCTATTTTATGGTACGATGTGGTCTGGTTGATTGATATATGTTTGAAATGCATGATTCGTATTGCAGAGGCTGGGACTTGTGTTCTGGACTCAAATGGCTGGGCTAGGCGGGAAGCAGGGCCAATCAGACTCTAGACTGCTCGCATATGTTTACACGTCATTGTTCCGATCGATAAGTCACTGCTCTCTAATCGGCGGTCACAATTTATAACAGTTTGCATTCAAATTAGTGTGTTATTAATTAAAATGGTATATGTGTGTATATCCTGTTGTACTTTGAGTTAATCTAGAAATAGGAATAACTTAAACGAATGAGGTTTGTTTTTGTATTGAGTTTTAAGAATGAAAAATGAGCCTAATTAACGATTTTTTATTGGCTAGACGATGACATAATCACTTTAGTAACTGAATGTCATATCTTTGGTCTACTTTGAATGAAAAGTTTCAAAAAAGAACGCGAAAGTAATCTAATAATGTTTTGTTGTCCATTTCAACCTAATCAGTCCCTCTCAGATCATCTAAATGAATAGCAACTAAAATGATTTTGAGTATTCACTTGTTAAATAATTATAAGTGATTGTCGTTGTAAAGAGTAAGTACATTATAGAAAGTTCAGAGTTTTGATACCCAACATTTGCTGTAAAGATAAACAAAAATAAGGCTTTCAGGTAAAACATGTAGCTAATGCAATGATAATTGAGAGAAAAATTAAATCAATTTATTATAGTGAAATAATATTGCCATTATGAACATTATCTAACACAAGTAATAAAACTGTAGTTGTCTTGTCACACAAGAGTTAAACATATTGGTAATAAACCTACGATATAAAGCCAATAACTTGTGAGATTAAAAGATATTATCCAAAATTCTTAAACGATATTTTACTTACATCCCACTTCACTCCTTCCATAAATACTTTATCCCTGGCAATATCACTTCGATTTAGGGCAATAGCAATAGAAAGAAGGGTTTCGTTAAGTTCATCTGGCTTTTCATTCTCCTTTATGGCTAAAACATAGATAATATTTAATAAAAATCCTCTGAAAAATTTCAAGAATTTTGGACTTCCTGTAGTTTTACATTTCCAGAGTCAATGAATTTTAAACAGCTGATAAATGTTATCTTGGTAAGACAGCTCTCTCAAGATTATAGTGGTAATTTTATCAAGACATGAACTGATTACCTACAGTTTTATAGTAAATATATTATCTACTTGGGTACTAAAGATAATAATCGGTTTTTGTACAGATACTTTACTAAATACCGTTCCTATCCAGACTTTGTATTCCTAAATTGGTTGTATTTTACGCGATGTAGATTTAAAGTTAAGTAGATCAAACTAGGGTAAAATCACAACACTTATCTATCGATAACATTGAACTATTCTTACATTATAATGGACATTTACCGAAATTAAATCTTAACTTATTTTCTAAATTATATCATGATCAAATGTACAGTTGTGACCATGCAGTAATCCCATCGTGTAGAAAAAACTCCTAATTATTACTTGGTTTAATTAGCTCACCAAGTTACGTCGATTTATAATGAAAACTAGCTTCAAGTGTTATGACTATTCATTGATCTAGTGTTCATAATATCTGTCTAAATGATTTTCTTATCCAGTTTTGATATCAGTCAGTTAAATTAAATAAAAATTGATTTTCAATAATACTAGATCTAGCACTTTTGTCATTCTAGAGGAATTAAAAATTAGTTGATGAATTGTGGACAGTGTCATTTGTTTTTCATGTTACTCCATTTATAAGTAAATTATAATTAACATCCAACAAATCACCACCCAAAAATATATCTTATAAAACCTGGTATGACTATAAACTGTTTAATAATCAGATCATTTACCAATCTATATGTAATAAGCATAACAAACTAACATCGCAAACTCAGTAAAATTTCTGCGAAACAAATCATTCACCCATTCACTATATGACATGAAGATGTAGATCTATAAATCCTTCATAGAAATCTATTGGCTACTTAACACAGAGTGAAAATACGTTTTCATTCAACAGTTATCAGCAATTATTATTGCTAGTTATAAGCGTTGGTATTTTACACTTATTCTTTCTCAAGATTAAATATATTTCAATCTCCATTAAGATACTGGTGTCCTTGATATTACTTGCGTTCCCAAGTTGATTTCTTTTGAGTTACTGGTTAACAGTAGATTATTTAAGTTTTGAATATCATCTACGTATTAATTCACATCACTGTGACTGACATTGACTATTTTAATCGTTGAAAAAACGGTGGCTTTGATGATTGAATAATTTGAGTGAAAACTCTCCAACATTTAAATATGTGAGTAGTAAATTCGACGGATGCATGTGAAAATACTCATATACATGAAGGGGGATCCAGATGATGAGTCGATAATAGGGTGTAAAACGTATCATCAACTTATGTAGTTACGCGCAATGTAAGAAATATTTGTCTGTTAATTTTTGAGAAATACTTAGGGATAAAAAGATGAGTTATTATTACAAATCCCGAAATATTCAGATATTAATACTCTGTATCTACCTGAAATATTCACATGGCTTATAATTTAAATTAGTCATGGAATATTTAACAATAATTAAAGAAGAAACTCACAAGGATTCATTATTAAAGATAAAAGATGATAATCTAATTCACCATGTTCATCTTCACCTTCTGCTTCACAAATACTAAATAAATATGTTTTCTCTAAAATTTCTTGAATCATTAATACAGATAATTCTGGATGTGTAATATGATCCCAATAATATTCCATAGTTTGTTTAATACTACAATGATAAATACATATTGAAATGAAATGCAATTTATTGAGAGAGATATTGATAGACTAAGAAAGTTTTAATGAGAACTAAATGACTTGTGATAATTTTGTGAGAAATATTGTTAATTAGTCTAAGAATCATTAGAATAAATCACTATTGGGTGAAACTATAATTTATGCATGGACTTTGAGCAACTCTAAAAAGATCTTGAGAATGTCCACCTACATACAACGGTTAAATGTGGGTTATAAATCAGTTTTAGGAATTAGGATTAATATTTACAATTGATATTTAAGGTTAGGGATTAGATTCAGGGTTTTCATCACGAACCGACATCAGCTATAATGCCAAAACTCTATTCGATCAAGTGAACGAACTAATTTCGCTTCAAAATTCAAGACCTGATATCGTAAATCTGATTGATTCATCCAAAAATTATAGTCTCACATACTGTAGTGAGCAGAACGCAGGTGGGGACAATCGGATGTATTCTACCCAAAATTACAGGACTTGTTAATGAAATCTAACAATAATAAAGTAAATGCTTCATATGCAAATTGTCCATCAATTATCTCAAAATGACTCAGACTTCACTGTCCTTGCATTTTCATACAAATTGCATTCTGTTTTGATTCTTTACTGTTCGATCCTCTTGTCTTTCTGCTTCCAGACCTTCTTTTCATGACTAACATCATATACTACTTATGTCAATACAAGTAGCACACATCACAATACTAATGAATAATAATAATAATAATGCTCGCTCTATTCAATACCATATGTTTACTCATAGTAAAGAATTATCAGCATAAAATATTTATCAGATTGCATCAATATTCATGTTTTGTGTTCATGTAAAAAAGTCTACGTATAAAATTTTTTTTTTTAACAAAGATTAGTTTTAGTTTTATATTCGGCGGCTAAACTTAATCCCTTGACAACCCATTTTATAATCGAATATATATTCAATGTATGAATTTTATACCAATTGCCTTTCATCTCTCCAAAAAGCAAACTGAACAAGAGAAAAAAGTATATTAATGACCATAATGGTATTTCATGAATATTTTATTAAGTAGATATGCGATTGGTTGTAAAAATTGTATAAAGACACGTAGGTACATAAACTTAGTCGTTATAGGTAGTTAGTTAAAAGAAATCTAAAACAGGAAAATTTATGGTGATAAATGCCCATTGGCAACAATAGTGACCTAGAAGTTTCAGTAAGTCTCGGGAAAATATCAAACTTCTGTTCGGGAGTTTTAGTCAAGTGTTTATAAACAATAAACACATACTTTTATGAGAACTTTTCTTTGGATTATACTTCAAGTTTATTAATCTAGTGCTGACAGCGAGATTCATCATACTACTTATTAAATAAGTATAAATTTTCTGATAATTATAGCACAAATAGATTGATTCAAAACATCGGAAGACATTATATTCAGACAAATCGAGGATTTACAAAGTTTTTGTTCTGTTTGAAGATTTTTATCAACACTTAACGGCCTTGACTAGGGAACTATCAAAAATATGTGAATTGTGGATCTCTATTAAATACTATTTTATAGGTCTTATATTCATTGCACAATCTAAAGGTAATGAATCTAACATCATTATATAATCATAAATGAACATTTTTATTTAATTTCAGTACAAAGACTTCCTTGTTGGTATTGACTGGTGTTAATTTGTTGTAAAAGCTCGTGAAACAGTGAAATACCTGTCTAATTATGATAGTGCTTTTCAGTAGCATATAGATTAATAAACGTTTAATATTATGTTTATTGTGCTTCAAGAGAGAAGCGAGTTTATAAAAGAAAGAGAACATTATCTGTCTACACGTTCTTCTGAATCATCTTACATTTTCTATCATACTAAATATTGTTTTCAAGATGGGGATTTGTGGAAATAGTAGTAATTTTAATAATTGAATACATGAGTCAATCTAAGCTAGATCAACATTCAAAACCTCGTAATATTGAACGGCTATTTCGTCTTAGTATGGGACTCTTCAGCAATGAGCACCTACGACCCCAAACGCGACACTCGTTCCCGGGATCTCCTGTCTTACGCGTGAACGCTTAACCTCTAGACTCTTGAGCCGGCATTCAACGGTGTTAATGTCTAACTTCAACCCATCCATGATCTTGTGCAACCCTTCATTCATTGTATAAGGTAAATACCTGTCTCTACCCGACACAGATTACATTCCATTGGTCACGATCTCTCATTATAATCCCAGGAAATACATTTTAAAACCAGTCACTAGTGAACAAATGATTATTATCAGAATGGAGATTTGTGAAGATTGTAGTAATTTTAACAGTTAAATTCATGAATAATCTAAATTAGATAACCATTGAAAACCAAAATGTCATTTATTGATTGTTCACTAGACTAAAACATACATTTTGTATTTAAGTGAACTAAAAAATGTTACAGGTTAATTTTGCTAGGTATGTTTCACCTTGCAAATATGTTTTTCAAAAACCTTTAGTTCATTTATCAAAACTCAAATATAACTAATACAGGACAAACCACAAAATGTTGTTTAAACATGACAATTGTAATATTTTATAATTTTTAAGTTTTGCTATTGATACAACCGATAGATATAACTAATCAATGTTTATGGATTATCTGCTTGGTTATCACAGTGACATTGATAATCTTATTAGTAGAAAGTGAAATTTTCAAATACTGATTTTTTTTTCTTTCATTATTCAAACTAAATTTGGTTATTACAAGATTAGGATACAGTTACACAGTAGGATATCATGAAAACAGTGTTCTAGTCACAGTAGTCCTTATGAAACTTGAGACTCATGACAATACATTAAAAAACTAGTAATCGAATGTATTGATGATTAACTACTCTTAATAAGTTTAATCAGAAAATGTGAATTAAGAAACATAAATATATGAAGATTTCTTTGGAACAAAATAGGTAATTGAAATTTATTATATTACTATGTGATATAACTTGCTTATGTCTTAAAGTTGATTTCATTCATAGCACAACAACTCTCTTTTAAAGTTTTTCTTTAATGACAGTTAGTAACTTAAGAAAACAAACTAGTTTGATGAAATGAAATTTCAAATTACATCTTATTTCTTATGTCTAATGAATTCTTTTGAAAATGAAAACATACTTTCCAGGTGATAATTGAAATGTTTCCGTTCCAGTTGACCCTTCACTGATTGATTTTTTATATGTAGCTTTAGACCAAGTTCAGTGTCTTCAATACACTGAATTATAATATCTGCTAATCTGCCTGTTTCCTGTGGAAATAAAACAGTGAAAAAAATATATAATGACTAATAAACCATAAATGTACATTTAAAAATTCATAATCTTAGAAGTACTTTTTAGTGAAAAGTCTTTTAACCGTATAAGAAACCAGAACTATACAAAAAGTCTAAGTTCTTACACATTCACTAGAAAATATTACCATCAATATTTATTCATAAAATGAATAGTTTATAAAAAAATATTTGGTTTAGATATAGTTTACTTCTTAACATCATTCACTCACTTTGAGAAGTACAACAGGAATCGTATTTTGCATTGTTCCATATATTGCTTTAAGTGTTGATTCATCTCCACCGGAAAGAAATGCACATAATTGGATTGGAGCTATAAAAAAAAAGAGATTAAATATAATAAAGTAATGGAGTATAAGTGTTTTCATATTATTGATATGATAGGCTGAAATGAATGAATCCATCAATATTAAGTCGGTTAGCTTAATACTTAATTCTTTTGTTTAATTAGCCGGATTCAATTAGGTTAGAGAACAAAAACTATAATGTCATGAAGTACTCAGAAGTTGGTTAGTATATAAATCAGTTTTAAAAGTAAGTTAATGAATGAAAACTTCAATGGTTTGATCTTTAGTTGAAATATAGATTACTGAAGGTTTATGGCCTACAAAACTATTGAATCTCTTCAATATGGATGATAAGCCTTGATGATGTACTATCCAACGTTCAGCCTAGGTCCAAAACTAATTAGTGGTTACGTCCAACTGTATAACAAGAATAAACTAAATTAGAAAATTTGATAATAAAATGCTCTTGAAATCGTAAGTTTCAATTAGTTACTTGTAGTGTGAATCTGTCGAATATGATCTAGTTGAAGAAACAGATGAAAAAGTATATTTTGGCATTCTAATAGCTCTGTCAGTCCGTATTTATAATCGGTCGAATTTATATCATTCTAACTCAAACTACAACTATTCGGTAACATTTCCAATTAACTACATTCTTATGTAACCCCTGAAAATTATTCAACTTATTGATCTGTATCACAATTGCACCTTGTTTCCATTGATAATATGAAAAGTAGGGAAAATTCACTGATTACACCGCCGAACTAACCGACCAACCCAATCTGTTTTACAATGACTTTTCATTTCATTTCATTAAGTGTTAAAGTGATAGTCATTTTACTTAACTAAATTAGATTTGTAAAATAATAAATCAATTTAGATCTGATTGTTTTCAAGTCGTTTGATTGAAATTTACTTCCTCCTAGAAAATCGTTAGTACAGAAAACAATTTTCTAATCGTCGAACTATCAGATCAATGGTCAAAAGCATTAAAATCTTTATCAATTATACATTTTTCTTAGATTTATAGTAATTTTGCAAAAATATGCGGGTTTATGGTAAAATATAATGAAAACAGCCCACACTTTTTTAATTATATACATATAGTATGGTAAACAGTATAGAAGGAATAATTTACTGGAAATTAACTTCATTTTCTTGTTTGTACGAAATAAAAATAAAAAGTTACCTTCTGCCAAGATCTGTGGTGAATCATCTGGAATTAACTTCCACTTTTTGAGGATTAATTCTATTGAAGCCCTAAAGTTATATTCATAATGGGGTATAAGTTGTTTGGCTGTATCTACAAAAATGTATTGAGTGAGATTTGGATCCAAAACAAAATGTTTGTTGTCATCTGCTGCAGTCGAAGAGAATATTGCTGAGGAAAATCCCTAAGAAAAAAATAGTGTTTAACAAATATCGAAACTTTACAATACATAATTTTACACAATTACTACTTTGATATGATTCAGTAGTATGATTAGTGCATTTGAAATTCGTTAAATATTGTGTCATCAAAAAATATGTTTGGAACAGAACAAACATTGAACTGATATGAAGTCACCTGCTTTCACTTATTATTTTTACTGCGGGTACTTCCTGTCATGAGTGGCCATTTAGAAATCTGTTGGTGTTTTTCAAACCATGTCAATAACATTTGAGTCCATATTTATTGATTGTTTGAATCTTCTCATAGATGTTTAGGACTGCAATTAATCAGTCTCTTTTAACATATGTACATCCTGTTGGATCGCCCTAGTGCTGCCAGTAAGTTACAAGCATTTAAGAAAATATGGATGGTGGCTGGCAGTGGAATCCAGGACGCCTGTTTCATTCTGTTTGGGAAGAAACACGCGACTTGGATCCCACTACCGACCACCATCTATGTCACTGACTGTTCAAACTGAATCTTATTTAATATGATTATTCTCCAACTTAAATTAAGATGTTATGATGGAAAGACAATGTCGATCCAAACGGCTTATTGTATTTCCATGGTACATTTTAAACATTAGAGTAACATACTTATTCAAGCACTTCATGTTAATTTACTGAAAGCTAAAGCGAATAAAAGTAATATTACGAAATACTACAGAAATACGAAAATGGAGTGATATGAACGAACAACAGGTTTTGATACCAGCCTTATCATCAAAAATGAATTGATAATTACCAGAATGGGTTAAAAGTAAAAAAGATTGATTTTGAACGCATATAAATGTCGTAGGCCATGTGACGGCGAGTTCTTTCAAGAAATTAGCAATAACGTCTTGTCATTTCTCATATAACAACTTTGAAGTTACTTAAAAATTATTCCTAAAACCCCCTCTGAATGTGTACTTTGTAACAACTTAGCGCGGATTTCAACTCCTTATTCGAGGTCATTATCTCAAATGAAATCTTTCACTCATTTTACTGTTGCCATGTTTCAAAATAGTAAAGGTTTCGATTATCTGTTCTAAGAAATGCCACCATTCTGTCCAATTTTCCTTTCCATTTTAGCTGTTTTTGTGTCAAAACATGCATTATCACCAAACTGTTTCATGTATACATTTGACATTTCCACTGTTAATTGTTTTCAGTCTGAACCCAATAAAAACTAGAACCACTATTTGTATTCTTTAATAGAACAACAATATTCCACTTGTGTATTTAACTTACGGAATAATCGTCAGGTATAAATATTTTGTTGTCTGATATAAATTTCCAAGGTACTATTCCAATAGCTTCAACTTGACCTTCTCCATAAGCTTGAATAAAATCTTTTACGGCACCACTAGCTATTCCTGATATACCACGTTTGGTTCCATCAGTGATAACCCATGTTTCTGAATAGAATTTGAATGAACATTTGAATACGTTTTTATTTTCCATAGAACACTTACAATTATTTTCAGGATGAATGTATACCTGAATAGCAAGGATTAATCTTAACATTGCTTTAATATAGGCTATTAGGCTTCATCGTTTTTCATAGGGAAATCTCACCATCGTAGGAATTACTTACATTGAAATATTAAAATATGTCAATCGTACTTATTGATCTAGGATGATTCGAAACTATAAATTTTTCAGAACCTTTAGCTATTGCTGGCTGTATTGATACTTATCAATTATAAAAACGTCAAAATTGGGAAACTCGTTTATAAAAATCCGAAATATCACTATTTATTATAAGTTGAACAGATGTTGTATTCCGATCACAATCGACAACAAATGTTTAGTGAACTCTGAGAAAAATTTCGAGTTATCTTATTCGCTGATGCAGTTTTTGAACTTCTCACTAAGTGAGGTGGTAACTGGGGGTGTATCTTACAACTGTGTGACTGGTCAGCCACAAAGATTTAATTAGTACCAAGAAATGGAATTAAAATTACAATGCATATCTTCATATATAATCAGTAAGTTATCTTGAAGATAATTGGTGCAAATTAGACTATTTGTTAGCTGACCGATTGCAGAATATGTACGTTTATTTGCAATTTCGGTTCTGAAGTTAAAATTGGAACATAAATTCATTGCGTCAACCTAAGTCATCTGCTAAAATATGCTTATGGTTCAGTATTTCTTGACGTAGAATTCAGTTTGACAAAATAATTAGAGGAACATTCATGGAGCACATACTTCCACAACAAGTGATCAAAATAACCATATACTACAATTGTGATATATTACACAAAAGTATTTCAATAGTTAGTGATTGAAGGCTTTGAAGTTTGGAATAGTAAGATGTAGTGCTAGAGAAAAATTGATTATGGAGGAAAAGAATTATTAAGATATAAACTTATATATCCCAAAACTGTTTACAAACGGTAAACCTTCGTTATGAATGTAGAAAAGTTAGTATTCCTGACCGGAATTTCTGCCTAAAAATAGTGAATTTTCAGGTAAGTTACGGTATAATGTTATTTCTTAACGTTAATTCCTAATTTATGTTTTCCTTTAGTCATTCATGTAAATAAAAAAGTAATGTTTCAAAAGAAATTAATCAAACATACAGAAAACTGACGTAACATTTGATATTAGGAAAGTCAGTAATGAAGCTGACGCTAATATATGACATCCAATGATGAACATACTATACTGAATATTCCCTGAATTTTTTATGGCAAACTACGAACTGCACAGCATCATATTCACATCAAGACCTGAGGTTTTGTATTCTCATTCAAAGAAAATTCAATCTGTTTTATGAGACATGTCTTTTGTTCAATAGATTGATCAGTCTGTCACCTGATATCAGTTCATTGAAAAACTCTGGACAATATTATCATAATTTAACTTGGTTTCCACAATGTCAGTTATTAAATATCTTTATAAAAGAGTCATATTTCTAAGTTAAGTAAATGAAACCAAACCATTATACTTTAATGGTTTACTATGGAAACATTATATTGGACATAATATGATCCTATATACGGAGTTTATTTTGAGATTCTACAAAATAGCTGTTCTTTTAAGATAGGTTGAAGTTGATGAACACCAATGAAATAAACTGAATCTCCTTTTTCTTCTTTGATTTTTTCTGTTCACATTCGATTAGTGATGTGAATAAAATGAAATAAGCTTTAGGTTATCTACAACATGTTTATTATTCAATGGATTTCATTTTTATTTTGCTTTAAAAGGAAAGTGACGTAGTAAGTTGAATATCCTTAGAAAGAATATTTTAAATACAATCACTTCATTTCTTACTTGTAGATTCACTAGCTTTCCAAATTAATCGTCGTATTTTTTCACGAATAACTTTAGAATCAGTATAATCTCCATAGAAGCTCAATACTAATTGTGGACGTGATAAATTCCAAATTTTAGTAAAAATTTGCATCATAAGTTCTGGATTTGTTTGGTCGGAAACTCGGATGAACTATTTACGGAAAATATTTTTAAAAAATAATGAAATAAATGAATTTAGTTAAATATTCAACAGATTTTATTAATTCTCAATAATTTGTTCAATATGATTATTCGAATAAATCATGTTTAAGCTCATGAACCGATTGATGTTAGGCCATCGTTGGAAACCTGGTAGCACTGGACGGCCGTTTCGTCCTATCTCGGGACTCCTTAGAAGTGTGCATCTACGATCCCGCCTCGCGGGATTTGATCTCAGGGCCTTCAGCCTTGCGTCAAACAGACAATAATAATAAACTTTATACACATAATATATAATTTTGTAACCAAGAGTTTGGTAGAATATTCTGCATTTAAGGTAAATGAAAGATCAGGAACAGTTAACTTTTACCATCAAACTACTGATTTATGTGTCTTATGCATGTTTCGACATTTCTCCGGACTAGGTACAGTACGTTTCCGATCCGACGTTCTATGACATCTGGTTCTATTTTCCTATTACCTTTCTGATTGATACAGAAACGAAAAATTGCTCTCCCTTTCGATCAATTAAAGTTGCTGTTTCAGCCACAACAGCAGCGTTTTAAGAAGAATCAGTTGGAATATATAGACAAATTACATACATGGCATCTGAATCATCCATGCTTTAGAGGTGTGACGGGAGTTAATGAACTAATTTCTAAATTGCGTACAAAGCTGAAAAATGATTGCAGAATGTATGAATGTGTCGATGAAAGCCTCTATGTATCCTTGACAAGCAGTAATTTAAGCGAAGCAGTAGCAGTCATTTATGATCCGCCCAGTAGTCCAGAAACGTCCCTTTTAGAGAAATACTCTGTAGTAGGTTCAAATCCCTTTGTCCCCGAAACACAATGTACAAACACTGACTTGTTCAGCTCACAGAAGAACGATTTCTTGTTAAATGCACATGAAATTGTTGCGGTACCCACCCACGAAGAAACAGAAAATGAATCAAGCAGCATAATGAAGACAGTTGTATCAAATGGAGCTCATCATTCTACGACCAAAGTATCTGATGAATGTACTTATCGCAGTTCCCTAGTTGTTTTACTAAATATGCGTTATCTTAACGACTCACATGTTCTTGATCAAATTTCTTACAAAAATGAGAAAAAATATGTCGGATGTATCAAATGATGATCAAGAACCCAATAAAATCTCGATAGATGCTGATTATTCTAGTGACCCACTATCTACCAATGAATTTTTCAAGAAATTTGATGAAAATGTTTCAGAAGAATTAAACCTTAATGACCTCATATCAAGTGTCGTTGATCCTCACCATCTAGTCAGTTCTAGTGAACTCTCTATTCAATGCGGGAAATATGTTTTAAATAGAGTCACACTAACTGTAACTCGTGAATATGAGGACCCAACATGATTTCGTGGGGGAGGAAAAAGTCAGAAAATTTAAAGATGGATCTCAACTTGTGTCTTCAAAAAAATGACGGGGAAGTGATATGATGGAAAGAAAAGTCAATTTACGATTGATTTACTCATTGTGAGTTTAGTTCAAGATTACTTCCATTTTGATTCAATGTAATGATTACTCAATGTCGTATTTGTTTTCTTTTCCCTATAATATTTTATTCTGTATAATATGCGATATTCTTGTATTCCATTGACATGAACTATGCTCAGTCTGCCATTTGTCATAACTCTAAGTGTTTTTCATGTATGTGATTCATCCTAATTATTAATCAAAATGGATGTACAATCAATATATAAATGAGTGTATTTCTGACTAGGATCGTCGTCGTGTTTTGAGGGTTAATAAATCTTCACTTATACCAGTCTTGTGTTTTTTCTCTCGCGTCGTGGGAATTGCAGATGTCCCTAGTTCCGAGTATAAGTGATAAACGTTTCCGACACAACAATCAGCGACGAACAGATATGACAAGTAGCATTCAAATCACAAGACATATCAGATTGTCTGCACGTTATGGCTGAGTGAAATCTAAATATTTCGAAAAATCATTATTCTAGTGAAATATTTCTCTTTTGGTAAATCCATTACCATTTTAGAAAAGTCAATGTTCATCAGGTTTTCATTGTACATACAGAAAAAACATATCAAGAAGTTACTGCTTTCAAATAGTAAAATGATTTTTAAGTTTATTTCATGTAACTGAATTCGATCTAAAGTTTAATATTTTTATCAATCGTTTTAACTCAAAAAGTAATTAAATTACATCATAAGTTTACTAAATAATATTGATGATTGATGATCGATAATTATATTTAAAAATATTTCTCCCATGAAATTTGACACTGTTACTTGCGATCCAGAATAATCAAATATGGATAGTGGCTAGCAGTGAAATCCAGGACACGCATTTCGTTCGATTTTGGACTCGTCAGCTGGATGTAACTGCATCTCAGAGTTGATGTTCACTCTGGGACTCGGTCCCAGTATTGTGTACTTCAAATTCCATCGCGTTAGCCACTTAGCTACTGATAGCCACTTGTATGTGCAATGGAGTGAAGTTTT